TTTTTTCAAATAAGAAACCATAATAAATTATGCTTCTCCCATCACTGAAAGTCATCTCCAGAGCTAAGCACATTGCGGTGGTCAACATCCCAGAATATTATGTTCTGAGGCCCAGGGAATAATACATTCTCCTCAGGGCTCTGTGTTCCCTTTAGTCCCCACATCTCCTGTTGGAAAGAAGTTCTCTGACTTCAGATCTATGATTTTTTTAACTGTTTCTGGACTGAAAATAGCACAGGGCGCAGGCAGTAATGTGGTTAGAGTGTGGTGGTGTAGATAAGAAACAGACATTGAGGTAGGTATCTGAATACATCTTAGGAACAACACAGAATGTGAGAAGAATTGTTGGTTAAAATTTCTTAAAAGAGTTTACATAAATGCTAACAATACCCTTTGATTTATTGATTTTTAAATATTTTTAAAATAATTTTTAGAGAAAAAGGTCTCAGAACGCACTTTGTGCAAAATTTACACACTTATCATTGCACTTGCAAACCATCATGAGTTTATGTGTTGTTAGAAATGAATTCATTCGTACCCATGAAATGTAAACTGTCAATATGGGTCACCAAATGCATCTATATAAATTGCAGCTCCTGCCTCACAGACATATGTGAATCAAGAAGAGTTTTAAGGCAAGGTTGCCTTACTGAACTATAGTTACAAACAATACTAAAATGCCTGTGCTTTCCTTTAAAAGACATCAACATTTCAGATGTCCCCCATGTCTCCTGTGAATTAATGTGTGGAGATTGCCCAGCTCTGCAGTTTGTCAGTCAGGGACCCTTGTCTGGAGCTTCCACCAACTTATAGCTACAGCATCTGAAACATGTTCTCAGAAGGTTGATAATAGGGTACAAAAATATATAGAGGAAATAGAAATGTTTCAGTTCTGCTTTTAAAAAATTACACTTATTTTTATTTTATTGCCATTTTATTTTTATTATAGTACTTTGCAATGCATACATTGTACTTAAAATTTATTTGGATATATTTTCAGTTCTGCTTT